CCTCTGACCTCTCCCCGTTCACTTAAGTTCAGTTTTCAGTTAATGTTGTGTGCGTTATGTTATTTTTTTTATTAAGACTCACACCTTTTGTTATGTTGGTTTTACTTTCATGTACATTTGTTTTGTTCTGTTCTGTACATTTGTTTCATTGTAATTTTGCGACTCCAGGAAGAATAGATTTCATGTAAATCTAATGGAGATCGAATAAACAGACAAACAAACAATGCAGTAGTCTGTACAGTGTTTTTACGATACATGTACTTCACAAAAGTTCTCTAGATTTAATGACGACCAAGATGTCTCAGCTGTTTGTCGATACAGGCTTCTGCAACGCCAGCCAAAGCTTCCCTTATATTGGGCATGGTAAAACTTCCAGTCAGATTGATTGCTACGAATTTTTTCTAACTTAACTATGTTATGATAGTGATGTTTTGTGTAAGGGATTTTATTCATTTGTGCGACTGTTTGTGTCGGTATTGCTTTTTTTTATTCTTGGATTTTTTTTTTGCTTTCACGATGTGAAACTGTACTACCCGTGTGAGGAGTGGCAAACAGTTCAGTCGGCTCTGTAATGTGAAACGGCACGCGAAGACTCACGCCGGTGAGAAACCGTACAGATGTGAAGAGTGTGGCAAACAATTCCGTCAGCTCTGTCATGTAAATTGGCACGCGGAGACTTACGCCGGTGAGAAACCGTTCAAGTGGGAGGTCTGTGGTAACCACTTTAGTCAGCTGGGTAATCTGGCAATCCACATGTGGATTCACACTGGTGAGACACCGTACACAGTGTAACAGAAGCTTCGCTCATTCAAGTAGTCTGAAGAAACATGCATGTGTGCAGACTAATTCTACCCAGTACCCATTCCTACCAGTGTGACATTGAAAGTGTCCAGAAATGTACGAAAACAATAAGAAAAGTAAAGTAGAAAAAGGTTTATGTGCGTTTAGACTATGTAAAATGATGAACATGATGCGATTTCATCGCATATACATGTAGCATATTTCTGCATTAACCCTACCTAGACCGGGCTTTTTTTGACATGGGGGGACGGGGCTCTTTTGACCCCCCTAAGAACTCGCGAACGGTATGTCGTATGACCACCAAATTTTCAGAGAATGGTGTACTAGTTCAAATTTATCATATCTACAATTTTTATGTCGTTATGACGTAATATGACGCCATTATGACGTCATTAATGTGATTTTATTGGCCAAAACCGTCTAAATAGGTTTTTCCCTGAAAACTAAATGGTATTAAACATAACTGTACCAAAAGTTTTTGTGACAGAATATTATGGTGTACTTAGTCTTATGTTGCCCATAGCAACACCGGTGACGTCATAAAATGACGTCATGCATATTTAAGATATCCGCTATCTTGGATCATCAATCTTGAATTTTCAAAAATACTTTTTTTCATGATAAAGCCTAAAATACATTGTAAACATACCAAAGACCTTCATGGAAGTATTGATGAAATTTTAATGAAAATAACATGTATATACCTGTTCTAATGATATTGTCCGCCATCTTGGATTTTGGCCAATGACGTCATCAAATTAGCATAAATTATGCATATTTAATGATAAAATTTACATAAAATTATATTGGATGTTATTAATATTAGAAACCATGAGTAACTTGACATAAAACCCATAAAATTCTATTGTTGAAACAAAAAGTACTTAATTTAGCAAAAAATGCCTGTCAGAAACCCGTTGCCATGGCAACACAAAAAATTATTATCTTATTCCAATGATAGAGAATTGTTGCCAACAATATTCTAGGAAAAGTCACCAAGTTTGGTTTTTCTACGGCTAGCCGTTCAGACGCTAGGTGACATCAAAGTTGGCGCGGGCACTTTTACCCCCCCCCGGTCTAGGTAGGGTTAAATGTCAATGAACCTTTTGGTTAATGTATCGAATCCGGTCCGTTTTTTTTTAACATTTTTATCTATTGCGTTGTATTAGTCAAGCAGAACATATAGTTCTTAAAGTTATTGTATTTGTCATTTTGACCAATATCTGTAAAATATTAATACATATTTAGTACGATCTGGTTGGATCAGAAAAAAATAAGATAAGACTGTCATTTACCTAGACTGACTTACCTTGTTGTTATACTTTTTATATCAACACTACCTTTTGTAAAACATGTTGTCTGTTCCTAGTATTGTAGGCATTATTCTAATAAGGCCATGTTGATTTGATTATATGGATGACATCCACGCGCGCATGAATTTTCGGCCGTTTCCAAAAAAAAAAAGTTTTCAACCATACTGTAAATCGTGCAAAACAGTTGCTAAATGAGCAAAAATATACCATAAGTTGCAAGGAAAACATTTAGAAACGATACCAATGTCGTAGAATGCCAAAATCAAAGGAAAAAAGACAAAAATGTAAAGAAATGAATTCGAAGAGTAGATTATTTGCCATAACATATTCTGTGTCATTTGTTCAACCTTCATGACCACGTAGATTTCATAGTGAAAGCAACTTTTTTTTTTGCAAAACTTTTCTTTTATTCGCACGCGCGTATCAGTTTTGGGGTTCCCAGAGGATGTCATTCATATAATCAAATCAACATGGCCTAAGACATGAACACAGATAGTGTTTTCTTTTGAGAAGGAGGGTATAGATATCTCTGGTTGATATATTTAAGTTTAAACAACGAAAAAAAAACTTTTTTCACACACCAGCTGCATGGCAGAAAAATTTTTGCCGAATGGAGTAAAACAAAAATGTACAACACGTTTACATCTAGTGGCTTTATTAAATGTGTTGTTCATTTGTTAAGAATTTTAATGACTGCACCAGTACTTTTTTTTGCTTTATAATTATGTTCTGCTCCGCAGCGCTTTTGACCTTGAAAGTGACTTGCCGAATCTGTAGTTGAATATTTATTTATCCGAAAGCCTTTACTCGATATATATTTGTTGTGTATCCAATCTTTAGATCTTTCATAAGATCAATATGTAAGGCATATCTAAGACAGGATTACTTGTCAGTACGCAAGTCAACCAAAATCAAAAAGCACAGTTACCAAGAACCTCTCAGAGGTAGCAATAACGACGACCCCTGTGTATATTTTCACCTTTCGCCAAAACCAGGTACAATGTATTCGATGTTTTAAATTCGCACACATCATACACCACCAACTTCGCTGGATCCAACAGCTAGACAGGCAATATATGAGGGAATGTACAATCCCATCACGGCATTCTGTCACTATGGCATTATTTCCCATTGCTACATGTAGGGGCGTTTGAAAAAGTATCGGATTTCAAGACGCAATTTAGGGCTGATCGTAAAACATTTGAAAATAAACAAAATAGTAACGAGGGAAAATTTTGTTGAAATAAAGTAAAATTATCGTCTTTACATGCATTCAATTGTAATTTTTGCGTAAAATAGGTGTTTTTTTATTTCGTTAGAAAAGTCAAAATTTTTCGGGATTTCGGAGCGCCATAATTTAGCCATTTATCGTTCGAATGCGGCTACATATATTGCTCAAGATCCCCGATTTTTTAATATTTTTTCAACAACTAGGAATAATACAAAATAATCGTGTTTGGGATTTTTTGCATTTCCGACTTAAATTGTAGTTTTTGTCGACAAATAGATGAAAAAATGGATTTTGGGGGCTTTTTTTGCTCAATTACCAATAATTCAAAATTTATGGCATTTTTAAATAATCCCATGAACACGATTGTCGGGAAAGCAGTTACAATCATTTTGAGCCGTCAATGAGGTATGTTGGTCTCTCCATGCTTCCAGGTTTTAACGAGTTTTTCAGACATGTCATCTTGCCCGAAAGTAGGGAGTGTGATATTCAGTTACTCATTGAAGCAACTGGGTATGATGTTTGGAAAAGGTCAGACTTTATCCATTGGCTTTCGTCAGTGACTGAGAGACCAGAGGAGAAATGCAGGTTTATAAGCACAGGTTACTGATTGATATGCAAATAAAGTGAAGACAATTTTTCTGGAAGTCAAAAAGGAAACAAAAGTCAGACAAGTCTCTGTTATCCCGAACAGGAGCTTAAGTGTTGTCTGTCCTCGGGGCTGGGAGTGCCAAATTTCAAGTGCCGGAGAGATCCACCCTGACCCCCTTCCTGTTGAGGGTGGGGTTGTACATTCTTTCATACATTGCGTCTTTAACACCCCGTTCCCACCAGCGTGTTTCGCGGTCTAAGATTTCCGTGTTTAAACTTTGTTTTTCCACTCCAGTTTAAAAGAGTCACCCTGGTTGTGTTGTAGGTGGTGGAAAATAGCTGAGGAGTAGCCGTTAGCACTAGGTCTGCAAAGTTCCTTGTACCTTACCTTTTTAAGCGGTCGACTCGTCTCTCCGATGTAGGTGTTGTTACAATTGGTCTCCTCACATTTGAGTCTGTAAATAACATTAGCCTTGATACCTTATAAACCTGCATTTCTCCTCAGTCACTGACGAAAGGTAGTGGATACTAGCTTAAACGTCTGACCAAAAATCGTTTCCAAAAATCATATTCAGTTGCTTGAGTAACTGCTTTTTGGCGTATCGTATTATATGGACGTTTAACCTTCATTGTAGTGCGATGTTCATACTATCGTAAATGATCATTCCAATACTCAAGGTCACCCACAAATACGACAGTGGCTTTGCTACATGTTTCATGTCCACAGCAAAATGATAAGCGTACGTGTACTGTCCTGTCCTGTCATCTTCTTAAGACAACATGACTCCTGTACAAGAAGAGCTAACTGACTCATTAGCATTGTCATAGCTTTGTCTTATTCCGAGTTTTCCGTAGTTTGTCTGAAATTTGTCTTTACTTCATTCACGTATCGATTCATATCGACAACAAAATAAGTTTTTGTATACTTAAGTGAAAACCTTCCAATCCGATTTACTGCCAACCCAGTAGTTACATGAAATAGTTGACCACTCTGATTCTATCATTTTTGGCTGTAAAGACGCAAGAAAGACTCGTCAAAACAACACTTCTAGTGGACATTAAATTTAGGTCATTAGGGTAAGGTTCAATACGTATTGCTTGCAAAAAAACTAACACACATCAGTGTGACTACAATAATCTACATATTAAGTAGCACACGTACATTTACTTTACTGTACTAAGTATTAACTTGACCGAGTGCATGGGGACATCTTTATTTAGCTTTCTCATCCTTGTTTCTTTGAAAGCATTGCACTATTTCATACGTTGTCTTAACTATTCTTATGCACATCCGTGTAGTAAGCATTGTTCACTGTCCTGTTTTATAATCAAGTGTAAACCTACCAAACCGGTATTACTGCCCAATCAGTTTCTTTATAAGAGAGTTGGCCAGTCTGATCCTACTATTCCCGACTCTGAAGACTCAAGAATCGGCGTTGCCTTCAAACCATCCAGCTGTCGCTCTTTGGTAAGTACAGCTTATGTTGTTTCAGTTTCCGTCTCTTACAAGTACGGGCCTAGTGGAACACATGAATGCAAGTCAGCCTTGCTGTTTCTACAGCAATGTCTGGGGTACACGTGGAAAGGTTGTTTTTCTTACACTTAACAATATAACGTCCGAAGTTATCTGTACCGGTAGAGTCGGCATAACGCCCTTCGGCGCATAAAAATAGTCTTCTTGGTGGCATAGAGTTCTATCGACGATCGTTCTTTAAAAATATTCAGTTTTTGAATACCTCATTTATTGACAAATCTTAATCAACTAAGCATGTTGTTAAGGACAGCATTTATTCTATTCTTTTTTTTTTCATCTCTGTTCTTTATTGAGTATCGAATACATATGTACATAGAATGTAATAAATTGTTACATCAGATTCATCAATTTCTGTCTGTTTGTACAATCTTTAACTTTTAAAACTATCCTGACAAATTGTCTAATACTTTTATATATATTTCAGAATGGTATACAACTAACAAGGCTGATACAGAAAATATGCACATACCTTTTTCTCACAAATTCACAGACTTAACAAATGTCACTAATTTCGATATTGCACATAAATACTGTAACACTATATTAGCTAAGATTCAGTTGAATTTAGGGCTAACTAAAGAAGGCATCAAATGTTTCCCAAACACGGAAATAAATGCCGTCAAAAGGACATATTTTCCACTTCACTTCTACTGAATACTATTGTACTGGACACCTTTCTCAGCAATTCAGATAATTTTTAAACGACAAATACATATCAATTAAACGTAACGTCAGCTGCATAGAGAGCCCCACTTCCCGCGGTGCTTCTCCAGTTTACCTTTCTTTAATGCTATGGAATATTCTACAGTTTGAAAAGAATTTAATATAACGAAGAAAGGAATCAAAGTTTAAAGAACTAGTTTTTCTACATCTAAATATATATATTTTGGCAAGTAGGGTTATAAGATTTTCAATTGGGGGGTTCCAAAGTGTAAATTTCCAAAAATACATTGAATCCATTTAAGAATAAATCTTTAGTTGTTTTATAGTGATACCAAGTTTTTAATTTGGTCCCAAAAAGAGATAACGTTTTGGACATTCCCAGAAGACATGCAGGTATGTTTTCTTCCTCTTCATGGCAGAACGAGCACAAAGGGGTCTCTATACATTTCCAAATATATAGTAGTTTGTTTGTAGGTAGAAATTTATGTAAAATTTTATATTGGAAAAACCTAGTGGAAGAATCGATAGTACAATGTATTATAGATATATAAACCTGTTTCCAGGGAATAGGGGTGTCAAAGAGG